CTAAACCCTAAACCCTAAACGAATCTTGCAAGGCTTAGCTTTGTCGTGGAGCTCATCAGCTCTACAGCGACCCCGAAGCTGTAGTACGTGCAGGGGATGTACCTTATGCTAGGGTTTAGGGTTTAGGGCTTGTATATAGGGCTTGGGGTTTAGGGTATCGGGTATGCCGTGAGGAAGACTGCCGACGACCTTAAACAACGTCTGACCCCAACATGCTGAGCCCACAAGTCCTACCCGAATGTTCTAAGAACTCATACCAGTGATATAACAGGACCCCCGAATGGCCCTTTAATAGAGCCCTTATGGTCCTTTATAGTGGGTATTTGGGGGATAATAGAGGGTAGTTGGGGGGTCTAGGTAACACGGTTTATCCTTAAGAAGCATGGGGCCGAAGGCCTCGGTAAAGAAGGAAACATCCTAACCTCGAACCTTGCGAATAGCAGTGCGTTATACGAGCCTGCGAATTTCCCGAAACTAAAGTACACTGCAACACGGCATCACACCGGCGAATCAACTCCTCAGCCGAAGAGACGTGCCTGAGATTGCCGATCACGGCCAAGGAAATGAAAGCGCTGGACTTGCCTCCTGGCGGCGTTGTGCTAAGCATCAAGGAACCCAAGAACAAAACACAATACTCTCAGGAACAATTGCCAGGATGATCTGAAGAAGTAATTAACAGAAATTTACGGGTACAGCATCTCAATATTCCGCAAGCTCAAAAGGATGTTGAATACGCGACGTGTCGAGGAGCAGCAAGGATGGCGATAGTGGCAACCCTAAAATATCCTACACCGTAAATGGGAGCTCTTTACCTAAAAACGACCCCGAAACGGTGAGTAGTGTAAATTGGGGCTTAGGGTCCATGTGATGAAAGCTCATATAGTTTGATATCCGTACTGAGGCCCCTGGTTTTTCTCAAGCTCTTGTGCGCTAAACCCCGTTCTGGCTGCCTCCATTCGTAGCAGTGACCAGGAAAATCTCCGGCCGGGGTAGCAACTCCGTCGGAGTGCCAGAGATAACTCCAGTCCTCGATGTGGGAGTTTCCGAAAATACGGGCTACCTTATTTTGGGGTCCTCAATATAAGGATCCTACTATTTAGGGTGCTATATTAGGGTCCCCTATTTTCGGAAACCCCCATGTAGTGTTAGGACTCTGTCACCCTACTATTCGGGTTTAGGTTTAGGGCTTAGAAGGTTTGGAGCTTACGGATTAGGTGCTAGGACTTTGTCTTCTGGGATTGCGGGCTCGGCTTTCGGAAAGGCCACACCCTACTATTCAGGATCACTCTTAGATTCCCAAGACGTGTGGATGTAGGGGCTAAGATTCAGGGAATTTCGAGTGAACACAGCTGTGGAACCAAGAAAGGACTAGAATCTTGGCAAGCAGTCCTGCTCTCCTTGGGTTTACCGGCCTGACTTAAACACCACGCGAAAACCAAGCTCTAGCAAAGGTTGCCAATGTAGCACATTTGTCGTCCGCAGTTTACCTCGTTATCATGTGACCATATTGAAATGTTTCCGAATTCAGACAAAACGGGACCTGAGTTCAGCATTATGGAAGCCCGTTTTGAGTTGGGATCGTTGTGTTCGGCAACTCATGTCTGCGGCTACACCAAGATAGTCTGGAACCTTCACCCCTGAATAAAACCGCAAACTCTAAACCCTACACCCTAAATCTTCAACACTACACCTAAGCCAAATAGCTGAACACAAATTCCACACCCTGAACCGTCACACACATACGCGCACACATACACACTTACAGACGTACACACGTAGACACATGCACACATGCATGAATACACCGTTCATTCCCTCATGCATGCATGCGTGTGTGCGTGCATGCGTGCGTGCGTGCTTGCATGCATGCGTGCGTGCGTGTGTGCATACATGCACACATACATACATACATACATACATACATACATACATACATATATACATACATACATACATACATACATACATACATACATACATACATACATACATACATACACACATTCATAACACAACATAATATAACACAACGTAACACAGCATAACATTACATTACAGTACCTTACATTGCATTACATCACATTACCATACATACATGCATGCATGCATACGTACATACATACATACATACATACATACATACATACATACATACATACACAGATACATACATGCGTTCCCTCAATACATGCGTATAAACACAATATTTGTATGTGTATATATATATATATGAGCCCGATATCTTTAGGGTCTATTTAGCTCGCCCTCTATATATACAATATAAAATCCCGAGCTAAATCCTACTTCACAACATCTTACACAAAAAAGGCCACGTCGCAAGTCCACTACCTCAGGGCTCCTGCACATTCAGCAGGAATCTCTACACTTGACGACATAAAGACTATGATATCCAAACCATAAGTCTTATGTAGGGTTGGGTTTAGGGTTTAGGGTTTAGGGTTATTCGAACCTGTAAACAGATAACTCTAGACCATAAACCATATGCCTCTAGCCTTATAACCTTAAGCCTGAAGGTTACAAGTGTTAAGAGTACTAGAACCTCCGCTACGGTGCTACGGACATGAAAGCCGATGCACTCCTAAACCCCTAAGCCCTAAACCCTAAACCTACACCCTAAACCCAGAGATGTGCTCCGCATGTGTTTAGAGGTCTAAGCATCAGAAATTCAGGCATAGAGTCTAAGATGTAGGGTGTAAGGTACTTGGATTAGGATACTGCGCTTAAGCATAAGTCGTTATGTACAGGAACTCAGCGTTATAATTTTGAATATTTTTTCCAAAGCTCAAAGATACATTCGGGCTTATGAAAAAGGGACCAGTTGAGGGGTGTGGTCTTTAGACGCATCTAGCTGGAGCCATCTCCGAGAGCCGCGTACATACATAGATACATACATACATACATACATACATACATACATACATACATACATACAATACATACATCAATACATAATGCGTACATACATGTGTACATTTATATCATTTATATGTGCATGCACTTGCTGTACTGAGCATCTGTGGATCCAGAGATAGGCCAGTCCTGAGGTCAAGCTTGGAGCATCTGCGGCTTACGGTTCAAGGCTTTAGGGTTTAGGGTTTAGGGTTCAAGGCTTTAGTGGTGCTTCGGTTTGGGCGTGCGATTTCGCGTCTCCTTGAAACTGTATCTAGGCATTGAAATGAAGCCCAAATCCAAAGTCCTGAACCCCGAAACCCCGTGTAAGCTCTGCGTCCTAAAGCCCGAACAGCTGCAAAGCTTGAAACCCAATCGGTGAAGCTTAGACACCAACACGGGGGACTCGATCAAAAGCTCATCCCCGCGGCCTGAAGTCTTCACATGTATCTGCCTGATCTGGACGGTAACGCGCCGAAATCTGAAACCTTGTACGACTCCAAGCAATAAAGCCTGCCAGTCAGCCTAATTGCTCTGTAAATCTCTTAAGCCGTCAAGCCCCGGTGCCAGGGCATCTTTCTGGAGAGGCTGGGGTTTCCAATATAGACAATATAGACCCTACATAGCAGGACCCTCAATATGAGGACCACCAGAATTAAAGGAAACTACTGTACAGGGGGGGGAGTTTAGGGTATACAGGGCTTCTATACGGCTTCCATAAGGTATATAGACCTTCTATAAGGCTCCTACAAAGGAATTCCTTAAAAAAAATCAAAGAGCCCCACACTCTCTACGAGGCAAGTCACGGGAGCGGTGGTTGGATGTCGTAGTGCTGCACTTGGCCTGGACTTGAGCTTGCCTAACATCGGGGCCTCAGTAGTCAGAATAGGGTTTTGGGGTCCTTTATAGTATAAATATAATAAGGAACCCCCAAAATAATACCCAGGTAATTATTGAGGCCCCAGTCCTATACCCTATATACCCTAAACCCTAAACCCTAAACCCTAGACCCTAGACCCTAAACCCTAAACCCTAAACCCTAAACCCTAAACCCTAAACCCTATAGACCCTAAATCCCCAAGAGGGTCGCAGGTCCAAGTCGCCCCTGGGGTTTGGAGTGAGGGCTTAGAGGCTCAAGATACGCTGAGGACCCTAAACCCCTATAAACCCTATCAATCCTAACCCCTAAACCCCTAAACCCCTAAAATCCTAAACCCCTAAACCCTAGAAATCCTAACCCCTAAACCTCTAAACCCTTAAACCCAAAACCCTAAACCCTTATAAACCCTGGAAATCCTAAAGGCCCAAGGCCCTCAAGCTGCAGCATCGAGGCTTTTGTCTTCGGGCCGAACTCCGAAGCGGACGCTGCGGAGCCCGGGTTTAGGGTTTAGGGGTTTAGGCGTTTAGGGTTTAGGGTTTAGGGGTTTAGGGTTTAGGGGTTTAGGGGTTTAGGGGTTTAGAGGTTTAGGGGTTCCGGGTTTAGGGTTTAGGTGTTTAGGGTTTAAGGGTTTAGGGGTTTAGGGGTTTAGGGGTTCTGGGTTTAGGGTTTAGGGGTGTAGGGTTTAGGGGTTTAGGGTTTAAGCGTTTAGGGGTTTAGCGGTTTAGGGGTTTGGGGTTTAGGGTTTAGGGGTTTAGGGTTTAAGGGTTTAGGAGTTTAGGGGTTTAGGGGTCTGGGTTTAGGATTTAGGGTTTAGGGGTTTAGGGTTTAGGGTTTAGGATTTAAGGGTTTACGGGTTTCAGGTTTATAAGGGTATATAAGGGTTTATAAGGGTTTTTTCAGGTTTTATAAGGTTTATAAGGGCTTAGGGAGATACAGCCTTAGGTTTTGGCTGGGAGGGGTGGGTTCCTTGCTACTTAGAATAGGGGCTTGGGGTGGTTCTGATACTCATGAAAGTATATGGGCTACACGGGAATAGTGGTACTGTTGCTGACTATTTGGGCGCTTGTGGTAGAAACCCTAAACCCTAAACCCTAAACCCTAAACCCTAAACCCCAAACCCTAAATCCCTAAACCCTAAACGCGATAGTAGCAGCTACATCCCAACACCTGGAGCCTCCATGCGGCCATGTGAAGGCCATGTGAAGTAGGGTCGCCATCCTTCCGCCCAAAACAAGCGCTCACCAAAGTCCCCTAAGCCCTAAACCCTAAACCCGACACCCTAAACCCTAAACCCCTAAACCATAAACCCTAAACCCTAAACCAAAAGCCCCAAACGCCCTAACTCCAGTCCCCTCTGAGTCCCAGGCAGTCTGAGGCGTTGTACTGTGGCATCGTGTTGGCGACCTCGGCAGCACAGGCCCCGAATCTTCTATCGCTACTGTATTCTCCTATAGGGTTTAGGGCTTTAGGGTTTAATGTTTAGAGTTTTCGGATTTAGGGTTTAGGGTTTAGGGTTTTAGGGTTGTAGGGTTCAGGGCTTTAGGGTTTTAGTGCTTAGGGCTTTAGGGTTTAGGGTTTAGGGTTTTAGGGCTTTAGGGTTTTGGGTTTTAGGGTCTAGGGTTTTAGGGTTTAGAGTTTAGGGTTTAGGGTTTTAGGGTTTAGGGTATGAACAAAGCTGTCAGGTGGATGATCTCCTACAGCCGACTCCTTGGTCCCAGGGCACACGAAACGCAAAAAAATGCCATCAAAGCCTTCCTTGGTCATTGCCTGGTACAGGTGCAATGGCAAGTCACCTTTAGATAAGCCCGAAGTACAATAACTATTCTGGCTTAGATAAGCCCGAAATACAATAACTATTCTGGTTTAGATAAGCCCGAAATACAATAACTATTATGGTAACCTCGCAAGCACATCCAACCACAAGATGCCAAAACGACCGACATGCACTGCGTCGTCCTCAAATGCAAGGCTAGAAGCCCTAAGCCCTAAACCCTAAACCCTGAACCCTAAACCCTAAACTTCATCTGGGCCACCGATTTCAAGTTGCTGCAGTCGGCAGTCGTCACCGTCGGCACCATCGGTACCATGGGCTCATCCTGCTAGTTTGGGGTTTGGGGCTTAAGGTTTAGGGTTTAGGGTTTCTTTTGGGGTTTAGGGTTTAGGGTTTGAGGCCTAGGGTTTAGGGTTTAGGGTATTACCGCAGCCTTGCCCAGAGTGCCTCAGGGGGCTTCAAGCAAGGGCTGCAGCTTCAAAGCCTGTAGGCCTTTAAGCTTCTCAGGGCTTGGCTTTAAGCTTTTCAGGGCTTCCCATAGACAACATCCGCGAGCCTGACTGCTGAGACCCCCAAACCACAATGGTGACTCTGAAATGACAGTCGCATTCGCACTAGCCTATACAGCGCAGAACCTTTTCACTTAACCTCACATTACAGGAGTAACTGTACGTAACTTGGTGTAGCACCATATGACGTATGATGACGTACCGCAGTGCAGCCTATATCTCATGCGCGGCATGTACATACATGCGCATCCCTGTCTTTATAGTCTATAAGCACGCTTGAAGGTCCCTAACGTCGGCCCTCAAAAACGTACTTGGAGGATCATGGGACTGAGTAAATAAGGTTATAAGGCCCTTAATTGGGGTTATAAGTATAGTGACCCTAATTATAACCCTACTTACCAAGTCCCATGATCCTTTAAGTAGGCCTTCAGGCTGCGATTATTGCGAAGCATCAGGCCCGAATAGGACAAGGAAAGTCCAGTCGGGTTGTAAGAACTTCGGCCTTCATTTCGTGCCTTCTTCTCTTCAGCTCTGGCCCGCTGGGAACTGCCAAAGCTGGTAGACGTGGCACGCCCGCTTCTGTCTCAACCCATAGAGCTAAGCGTTCGATACCAAAACCCTGGCTCTGCCCTGCTTTACCGAAGGTTCTGGAAGCCCAGGAGGGCCCTGCAGTCCCCACCGGTCTCCTTCACCAGGAACAGGGGCGGATCGGCATAGACCAAATCCTGAAGACAACCAGCAAAGGATGCGGAGCTTGTCTCACTAACGGATTGGGCGTACATTCAATGTTCAAAGTATAGCGCAATGGTGCGGAGAACTATAATTATATAGTACATTGAGGAATCCTATCTCATCATGTACCTGGAGCAAAAGCTCGAGAGGCCTACAGCTGCGGAAACCCGACATGCGCCAAAGCCCCTGCCAAGTCATAAACTTTGGGGCTGAGTACAATAGCCCCAAAAAAGTTAACCTTTTGAATTATAGTAGGATTATATAAGCCCCAAAAGGCTAAAGGTTACATACTCAGCTACTAAGTAAACAGCCAGCTGCGAAGAGGCTCCTACTTCGACACAACTTTTGCAGCACCAAACACTTTGCAAATCATCTCGCGGGTGCCTTCGGCGGATAGACATCGGTGACCCAAACAAACCTGTGAATGCGGTCAAGGATGCAACAGCTTTGTGAAAGGTTGAGGAGGCCTACCGGTGGATCTAGGGGTATCCTGTTTGAGCTTGTCATTTGGGTGAGGTCCCACTGCGTGTCAAGACCTCCTGCCATCGCCACATGCTGGATTTCCAGAAGTTCCCTCGCGTTAGCCCCACGATGCATCTCGACTTCCTGGGACGTAAACAACCTTTGCACCTACCGCTGGTAGCTTGGTAGTCGCCGCGTCTGCCAAGGGCGCAGCCACAACAACCGGCACCGTAAACACGTCCGAGTTAATAGCCTTAATATTAAGAATAGGGTTTGGGGGGGGGGTATATTATACTATAATTATAAGAAGGAACCCCCAAAATGGGCCCCTATATTAGATGTCGCCACCGCCTCGCCTGGCGCCGTAGCAAGTATCCCATCAGGCACTGCCATATCTCAATGCCAGCACCCGGCGGAGGCGCGTTGACAACCTCGTTTCCCGCCTGCCTAAACATAAGCCCCAACTAAAGCCTAAACCCTGTAAACCCTAAAGTAGTCTTAAACTTGAGGAGGCTTGCTGCACCCTGTTCCAAACTGGTTCGGCTGTAGGGCCCACTTACTGTCTCGTAGGAAACTTCACGAATAGAACTGGGCGTTGTGGCATGGACTGCATGCATTCATTTGTGCAAGCTCACATGTGCCCAGTCATGAGTTGTGTAGCTTTACCCTAAACCCTAAACCCCAAACCCTGAACCCTGAACCCTGAACCCTGAACCCTGAACCCTAAACCCTAAACCCCAAACCTTTGTTTAAGGATGGGCCCGGCGCACCCTTGCTTTAAGCTTTTCAGTAGAGGTGCTTGCAGGTCGAGGGGACTATCTTCTAAAACTTGGAGGTTTAGGGTTTAGGGTTTCGGGTTTAGGGTTTAGGGTTTACCTATAGTCTCCATTGTAGTTCCTTTTTTTTGGTTTAACTATAAATATATATATATATATATATTAACGAGTTTATAAGGTATCCCCAAAAAGGAACTGCAATGGAGGCTATAGGTAAGCTTCCATGAACTCAGACGGCATCCACCCTGAACCCTAAACCCCCATAAACCACATACACCCCTAAACCCCTAACCCCCGAACCCCTCCGTTATGATAACAACAAGCTCTCCAAGGAAGACTTCATTTTTTTCGCGACGGTTGGACTGGTAGAGTGTAACCTTAACCCCGAAACTCCTACTAGTAAGCACCCAGAGATCAAAAGCCCCATTTTTTAAAGCCTAAGCCCTAAACTCTAAACATTAATCGGGCCCCCCGACAAATACTGTTGTTAAGGCTTTAAAGGTTTAGGGTTTAGGGCAATATAGGGCCTGAATAATTGGAATAGGGTTTTGGGGTCCATTATACTATAACCATAATAAGGAACCCCCAAAACCCTATTCTAATTATTAAGGCCCCTGCCTTACTAAGCCCTAAACCCTAAACCCTAAACCCTAAACCCTAAACCCTAAACCCTGCCTTGCTGCTAAAAAGAACCGATGAGGCCCCGAAACCGGGCTCCCCGGCTCTTCGGCGATGTCTCGACGCCCCGTGGCGGCCGCATTCGTCCCCAGCACGACGATGCAGTATCGAGTTGCCTTGGAGGCTTAAAAAATAAAAGGGGGCGGTTAGGGTTTAGGGTTTAGGGTTTAGGATTTAGGGTTTAGGGTTTCGAGTTGCCTTGGAGGCTAAAATTAAAACAAGGGGGGGGGGTCTGAGGCTCAGTGGCTTTTTCGACTTTTGTTTACGGGGTGTGTAGGGTTTGGGATACTGGGGCTTCCAGGGCTTGAGGGCTTTGGGGCGTAGTTGTTCGGGATGAAGGCTGGGCTCAAGCGGCTTTGAGACCGGTGCTTCAAAGCTTCTGAACCCTCGAAACCCCACCAACATCCAACATGTCAATACACCCTGAATCCTAGCAATCCCTACAAGCCCGTTGCCGGGGCCTCAAGAAGAATGTCAAGGCTTGCCGAGATCTCTGCGATTCAGACAGGATTGTAACTTGGGTCCACGAGACACGAAGGAAACTCTCATTCCGAGCGATTCATCAGGGGAGCCTTGTGCCCTGCAAGACGATGCTGCGATGGCTTGAGTTGAGTCAAGACTTCAGCGCCCGGCTGGATATGCACGCATTAAAGGGGCAGATGTGAGGAATAATAAACCGGGCTTCGTCTGCCTTGACGGTGCGCGGTCCGAAGTTCTAGCAGCTAGCAATAGCAAACACAAACAAGACTCAAGAGGGCTGATTTTTCCTCTCTGATATGAAGGTCTGCAGAATCAAGTTTCCTCATAATCCTTGTGAAAAAGAACAACACCCAACAGCTATTCTACTCATTGTGGACCCTTTTGGCTGGCTGCTCTTCCGGGTAGTGACATATCACGTCCTGGTTTCCCCAAGCCAAACACGGAAGTTGGTCCTTCTCTAACCAACTGCTCATGAACCGGAAAGCACAACTCTGCCACTGGCCCATGCTACAAACCCTAAACCCTAAACCCTGAACCGAAGCACGGGATCGCAGGCCCTGGCGATGTTTAACTCCGGTTCGGGGGGCTGCAGGCTTTTACGGACTCTTGACTTCGTCACCAGTGCTAGCAGCAATCCAGAGACCCAGGTCCATTATGCTGCGGGGAGAAGTTGTAGCGGAAATCCGGAAGCATGAACTCCCGAACACACGCTAAGCCCCTTCACACAAAACTACGAAGTCAACGATCCTTCCGCGGCCACTTTGGGCCGGGAAACCCGGCTTCTCTGCCAAGGACTTCAGAGCGACGAAGGCTCAAGAAGTTTACAACTTAAGGCTGCCAGGCGAGGTGGAGGTCTCGCAGGCCTTCTACAAGAATAGTCATGACAACAATCAGAACAACAGCAGTTTCAACAAAAAAAACTCTTATTTCATAACATAACAACAATATCACTCGTCATCATAGCAGCAGCTATAATGACAACTGCTGAGGAGCTTGCACGAATGAGTCGAGAAGCAACTGCGGAAGCTCAGATCGCTTCAAGGCTCCTAAACCCTAAACCCACGGCTAGTATTGAAGCCTGTTTTCATGCCGTCAGAGGCGAGGGCTTCGGCTAAGTGCATGCAGGTTGCAACTCAGGCTGCGTAGCTTCCCTAAACCCTAAAACCCTAAACCCTAAACCCTGAACCCTCAACCCAGAATCAAACATTTCATACCCATGAGCCTTCAAGCAGTGCCTTCCGAAGCCGCTTGCACATGGGAGTCCATCCGGCTCCATCCGTTCAAAGGGTTCTTTAGGGTTTAGGGTTGATGGGTAGTTCTAAGTGGGGTCATAAGTCCCCTAATATGGGTTTTAAGTATGGTTACCCTACTTAGAACCCCATTTATAACTACCCATGAACCCTAAACCCTAAACCCTAAACCCCATGTATAACTACGGTTCAGGGTTCAGGTTTGGGGCTCAGGGCTCTTCGTAACAACAGCCATCTTTGGGCTGCAAGTCCCCAGAGAACCCAATACCCCGTAATTCAGGTATACACCTTAAATTATAGGGGCCTTGATATGATGATTTAAATGATTTAAGGTAGTTCATGCCTTAAATTATAGGGGCCTTAATATTATGATTTATATGATTTAAGGTATATTCCTTATTTAAGGGCGATTGGGTTCTCTGGGTCCACAGGTGTGCATGTGCAGCATCGTAGGCCACTGGATCTCGCACATGTCCCAAACTGGCCTGATGGTCCAGGTAATGGCATCAGGACTTTCAGCACCGGGCGGAGTACCAACAATCTGCTCGAACGATCCAGTCTCTTTGGCAGTAAACGCGGATAGTCGGCCGCGTCCGCGAATATACTCATATAGAGGCGAATGAGGCGATAAGGTGATACGATACTATCTATTCAGCCCGCTATGGTCCTGCGGCCCACGCCCACACCAGCGCTCAAAGCATGGACGATCTGCCTGTGGCCTTTGGAAGATGCGTGGCTCAGAGCCGTCATGCCATCGAGACAGTCCCTCGCATTCTTGTCCACACCAGCCTCCAGCAAGAGATGCACGATCTCCAGGTGGCCTGACAAAATGCATGGCCCGAGAAAAGGCATGATGATGAAGATGAAGACGAAGATGAAGATGAAGATGAAGATGAAGATGAGGATGAACATGAACATGATGATTAAGATGAAGATGAAGATGAAGATGAAGATGATGAAGATGAGTATGAAGATGAATAAGACGAAGATGAAGATGATGAAGATGAATATGAAGATGAATCAGATGAAGATGACGATGACGAATATGATAATGAAGATGGTAATGAAGATGAAGATGTGAAACTGTGAAGATGGTGATGATGACGACGATGATGACGACGATTGATGGGGAAAAGGAGGAGGAGGTGGACCAGGAGGAGGGCGGAAACATTGGGATAAGGACCAGCAAAGGACAGGATGTGGACGATGATGACGCTGTCGATGCCGATGACGATGCGTATGAGGATGTCGGTGAACGGTGAGGGAGCAAGTCGAAAAAATTTAGCACTGGAGCCATTATGCGAGATTGTATAAATGGTTCACAATCTCATCGGAATGCTGGCCTTCGGAAGCTGCGTATCCGAGAAGTGTTCTCCCGCAGTAGTCTCGCAAGTCCATGCTGGCGCCGGCTTGCAGCAGCAAGCACACAACGGCAGAGTGGCCTTCGGAAGATGCATAGCCCAAAGCAGTCATGCCAGACTTGCTCCTCAAGTCCTGGTCATGGTCCGAGCGAGGTTCGCTTCTCGGCTTGCGGCACGGGACCTAAGAGCTGTCCTGCGATGCGACCAATAGGATGCTGCAAGCAATTCACCGGCTTCGCCGAAGCTGAAACCAACTGCGAAGCATCAAGCCCGAAGCGCCAAGAGCCGATTTAGGGTTAAGGTTTTAGGGTTAGGGTTCAGGGTTTAAGGCTATGCAGCCTCGTACTTACACTCGCACAGAACACCATGAACCCTTGAACCCGTACAGAATCATTCGATGTCAACCTTGGGTACCTAAGCCTAGACTAGCCCGGAGTCCAGCTTGGCACCAGCTTCCACGAGCAAACCAGCGATCTCGACTTGTCCTTAGGCATCCGAAACGCTAGTACCAAGATGTTAGTGTGTAATTTGCGGGGTGTAATTGCAGGCTTTGTGTATGGGTACCATGGCATCCGCACTCCGAAATCCCGGTAGGCCCAAAGCCAATCCATTTTGTGCGGCAGTGCTAAATCAAGGCTTCCTAATGCCATGACCGCTTGGACCAATAACAAGAATGGTATTATTGATTGTTTTATACCAAACACAGTATGTGTAAGGAGAGCACAGATGTGCCCCAAAGCAGGAGCTTACTCTTCAAGGCCCTCACCTCAAATCCATGTCATGCAGAAATAACTTTCAACTACAAGGGCACAAGCTTCAAGTGTGGGCAGTAGTAGGAGTCATAAAACATTGGAAAAACAAGCGGTTGAGGGCACTGTACCTGTAGGAGTGCAAACGAAAATTTGTCGTCTATGCTTACGTAGCTGGCTTGGTCCCTAAAGTATGACGGCCATGTCCACGGTCCTTTCCATGGGGGTCGATGCTGTCTTGCCAGGGATTTCCTTCGTGCCCGGCGAGGGATCATCCACTTCGTAGTTGGGTCAGAAGTGACTTCAGCTCAGTCAGTTGTCTCATAAACTTTGGATTGCCCAAACCTTGAACCCACAACTGCTCGACGCAAGCAAACAAGGAACGGACTCGCATAAACCCGTACGAGTTTGTGAACTAAACCCAAAACCCCAAACCGTTGGGGGAACCCTTCAAAACAATCGTAAATGAACCCCTCTACACCCTCTTTCTCCACCCCTTACAGGGTACAGAAAGTGTTCTAGAATAGGGTCCCCATTAAAAGGTACTAATTATAGGGTTCTAGAATAGGGTCCCCTTTAAAAAGGTACTAATTATAAGGTTCTACAATAGGGTCCCCTTTAAAAGGTACCATAGGGTTCTAAAACAGGGTCCCTTTAAAAGAAACCCTAAACCCTAAACCCTAAACCCTGAACCCTGAACCCTAAACCCTAAACCCTAAACCCTAAACCCTAAACCCTAAACCCTAAGGTACCATAGGGGCAAGTCCGGGGCAAGCGTCCCTTGGAAGCCGCGCGGATCAGGGCCGTCAGGCCGAAGCGGCGGTCAGAAGCATCCTTCAGGGTTGAAGGCATGAAAGGGTTTAGGGTTTAGGGTTTAGGGTTTAGGGTTTAGGGTTTAGGGTTTTAGGGTTTAGGGTTTGTTGAGGGTTTCGGGTTTAGGGTTTAGGGTTTAGGGTTTTAGGGTTCAGGGTTCCTTGAGGGTTTCGGGTTTAGGGTTGGTGTTTCGGATCTGGGATTCAATTCAAGGGTTTCAATATACGGGCTGCTGCAAGGGTTACTACAAAGCTTCTCATTGCGGGCTGTAGGATTTTTAGTGTGCGAGGGCTTACGGTTTTGGAGTTGTGGGGTCTTGTTTGGCCTTGAAGCTTGCTGGTGTGTCTTTAGGACTTTAGGACTTGGAAGGTTAAGGATTGTCTGTGTCATCTTGGGCGTTAAGCTTGTCACTGTTGTAGGTGATCCGCTTGAGGGACGGAAGACCAGCGACAAGAAGAGGAACAGTATCACTGAGAAGGACGACGCAATGCTCTAGAGACTGTTGCTGCAGCCTATGCTCATGTGATGCTCCTGATGTGAACCGCGGCGCCGGACATGCACTTCAGAGCCAGGCGACCTACGGGTTAGGAACCTGTTCTTCCTGCTGCGTTGCTGTCATCCCCCCACAAAAATTTTCTGGTGCTAAGTACCTTCACACGCACTACATAAACATATATGCACACACAAACAGACATGTATACATACATATACATATATACATGTACACGTAATCGTTTATTATCTGAAAGTTCTGGCTTTTGTTGTAGATACAGACATGTGTGTGTTCATAAAACCCCAAAAGGCAAGCGATTCGTACTGCGTACATGGTTCCTGTTTCGGTCCTTGTCAGCCCCTGCTGCCAGTAGGAACTTCGCCACCTCGACCTGGCCTGACGCGGAGGCGTGGCTCAGCGCCGTCATGCCGTCGTAAGCATCAGGCAGGTTCGGGTCCTGAGATTGAAACTTCGAGCTTTGGGGCGTTACAGCGCAAGGCTCTGGGGTTCTGACCCTGAAGGGTGAAGCCCTTAAGATCTAGGAGTTCAGGTGAAAGCCTGAACCCGAGACCCGCAGTTGGGGTTTAGGTTTCCGTAGGGACTCTGAGACCGAGTTTCAGCTTGTGCCTGCACCAGAAGTTTGACAACTTCTGCATGACCTCGTGAGCATGCCCGGCTGAGGGCTGTCAACCCAGAGCCGTCCCGTAGATCCTTGTTGCAACCAGCTGCTAGCAGGAACCGGACCATGTCGACGTCACCTCACGGGCTCCGAGCGGCGGATCTTCTTAGCGGCATTAACCCTTCCCATCTAGCCAGTGCACGCGCGTGTGTGTATGCACCCAGACAAGGAAACAGTTGCATCACCAAATCGTGACCCGTTTACAGTCCAGCAATAATTTCTAACCAACGTGTATAAATATGACTATACAGGCGGGTAGATACACATACATGTCTGAATGTGCGCCTTTGTGTGCTTGTGCAAGGCATCACACAGCGTACACGTATGGAGAAGTGCGTACACAAGGTCAACAAACAGGCAGGTAGGTAGGTAGGTAGGTAGGTAGGTAGGTAGGTAGGTAGGTAGGTAGGTAGGTAGGGAGGTAGGGAGGGAGGGAGGTAGGGAGG